GTACTGTGCAAAAGTCAGGTGCTACCTCTCATTTATTCCTGTTTTGCTTCCAATGAGTGAGACTGTTTTTCTTTGGACATTGGCTACTTTCTTACTCAATTTAAGTCCTGATCTTTTTGTTTGTCTCTTAACTCTGACCTATGGGTCATAACTCAACTGATGATCCACAGTTGTGTCAAGACATAACACACAACAAAAAAAACAAATCTTAAATTATATATTTAGGCGCTTTATTACTTGCAGCCTCTCAAACCCCCCCCCCACAAAATTTGTTTCCATTTTTTTTAGCTGAATGTATGACAAAAAATCCAAAGATGGCAAAACTGGAAACATATGCAAGTATTTTTGCACTAATAACATGTTTTCTTAGTCAAAAATGTTTCATATCTCACTGGAAAGTGGAGAACAAAAGAAGAAGTTGCAGTCCTACAAACTTTCTACAGTAAATGAACAGTATCTGAAAGTTTGTATCATCTAGCTGACCTGACATCATGGAGATGTTCTTTCAGTTGATCTGTCCACTGTTTGCTGTTTAATCAGAAATGATCACAACAGGTGGAAAGATGTAATGCTTCTTTTTTCTCTTCTTAAAAAATATGTTCTTCAAAGTGTTTTCTATCTTTAATAGTAAACCAAAGAACAAAGACTAACAGTCACTAATCACAAAAAGCAAAACGATAAGACATCACTCCCAGGCTTGTAATTTCTTTCTCATTCATCCATTTGTGTGTCTTTATGTTGGGTTATCAGCATCCTCTTCAGCCAATATCTTTGATAAGGTCCATAAATACTACTAATACATAAACTATTTTAAAATTATTTAGGAAAATCTTGTTTTTTTGTTTTTGTTTTTTGTCGACACATAGCTCTATACTAGTATTTTACTGATTAACATATAGATATAATAAGATGCATTGTAGGAGAAACAGCCATCCCGCCCTGACTGATCTTACCCAACAGAGATGTATGCATATTAGCCAAGTTTTGAATGGCTGACTGAATAGCCTGAATAACAGCGGGAATTTTGGTTTGCATATTTGTTTTAATAAACCTGGTTAACTGATGTCACACTTGATGACATACATTTGTACTGTGCTGGTAGTGGCGTGACCTCTGACACAGTCCAATTAATCATGCAACCAGAAATTTCAGAGAATGGATCAAATGGAAAATGAACTGGTTCACCCATTCACACAAGCACGTTTTCCTGTGTAAGTGCTTTCTATCTAACATTCACACACATTCATACTCGGATGCATCGGAGACCAGCTTAGGGTTAGTATTTTCCCAAAGGACATTTGGCACGCAGACCGGAGCAGCTAGAGATCAAACCACCAACCTTCCATACATAGTGGGTGACGTGCTGCATATCCTGAGCTACCCTGGAATCAGTAATAAACGAGATCTCAGATGCTGCTGTGTGGGGATTACTGAAGCTAGAAGAATGTTGTCAGCATACTGAAAGCAGTTGTTAAAGGTCAAATATTAATGGTGACGGTAGTAAACCTTCCCTGGTACCACAGCTAAGATTAAATTGGAATGACATAAATCAATTAGAAAAAAAAATCAGTGCTGATGGTTCTGTGTACTTTGCATAAAAAGGAGGCAAAACTCCAGTTCTTTTTCAATGTATAAGTAGAAGCAGCCTTCTCAAATGCCTCCATTCTGCTCAAAGTGGGACCAGTATTATTTCTGAGTTTTTAGATAATAGGCAATAATCTGTACAACCAAACCAACCACTGAATGAAAATGGTTTGTCATTTCCACAATATTGGGAGGTTTTTCCACTTTGGAAAAGATGGCTGCAAGAGAGGGTAACATAGCTTTCGTTCAATATGTTGACCATTTTCCTACAGCTTTTGTTGCCCACCATGTTTAATGAATATGACTTTTTGTGATTGCCTTGGTGATTTCAGTGCGCATTTGTGGATATTGTGACGTACAGGTTCACTTTAATAGATGCTGTTGGATGAGTCATGTTAACAACCCCTGCACTGTTTTTCTTGGCCGTCATACAATAATTACACTGTCTGTGTTTTCATTGGTTAGAATAAGTTAAATGTGTTCTGCAGTGAACTAAACAACACTGGGGTATTGGAGCATTTACTTTTAGTATTGCTTGATCACGTTTGTTCTACTGTGAGAAACCAAAATATTGAAGTCGAGATTAAAATTAAATGACTTGTGCAGACCTAATATGGTTTTTTGAGATTAGTAGATCATTGCTTTCCACTTAATTTTACATTTTAAATTACATCCCACCTTTTGTATATTTGAGGTTGTATCTCTTTGAGGCTGCATAGAGACAAGAGGAGGCACAAAAAGGCAGCGTGGACACACAAGTTTGTGAAGATAATAACTGGAGAAATAGGCAAATTAAAATATGTAAATTTATACCATAGGTTCAAGTACTAGAAATCTTGGACAACTTTGAATTTCAAGGCCAGAGGTTAGGTTTGCTGAAAATCTTGCAAATGCGATAACTCAAGAAGGAAGTCACCTAGGACTGTTTAGGCAGAAAATTCTTAATTTACAGATTTACAGACTTTCAAGTATCACTATTCTGTATTTAGTTCTATTGATATATCTACTGCGCCAAATAACACAAAAACAACCTGCGCACTTCATCTAGGTTCAGGTCAACTTTCCTGCCCCTAAAAACCTCTCTTGTTGTTACCACAGTGACTGGACCAGCATATGAAAACCTGGTGTCAGAGATTATGTCGATAGGATATGAGCGGGAGCAAGTTGTTGCTGCACTAAGAGCCAGTTACAACAACCCAGACAGAGCAGTGGAGTACTTGCTCATGGTGAGAGTTTAACCAGCTTCATAATCATGCTGCTGCTGTATTGTAAACTATACAGTAACTGTTCATGTGTTGCAGGGTATTCCAGCAAGGGCTAGTGGTCTGCACAATCCACAGCCAAGTAGACATAGTACTCCAGCCAACCCCTCTACACCTTCTACAGAAGAACCACCACAGCAGCCTCCAGCACCCCCCAGTAGTAAGAGCCCAATTTATTTATTTATTTTTACTTCTCTTTAACTTTCTGTTTTAAACAAGGCAGCTTGTTTCCTCCGCATGAACTTCCTGGGGACATGGAAATTATGCCAAGATGACAACTGGAATAACTGTGGTCTAAAGCTACACAACGTCCACAAAAATTCTGCACACCATTAACGTTTTATCACTAGTGGAACTTCAACATCACCAGAGGAAGAATTTGGAAGTATTTCTTTTTTAGATTATTTCACTTTTTTACTATTTCCACTTTGTGCTGTGTACCAGTACCATTCACACAATATGGTAAGACCACCACCGTGCTTGACAGTCGGTACAGTGTTCTTAGGTGTGAAAGTCTCACTTTTACTCCTCCAACTCCTCTTGTCATTGTGTCCAAATATTTTTTTCTCATCTGACTATAAAACATTTATCCAGAAGGGATTTCGCTTGTCCAAATTTGTCCTTTATACAAAGCGTCTTTGAATGGCAGAGATGCAGAAATGTCTGCATGTACCACAGAGCCATATCTCAGTGTTTTGAGTGTCTAAAGAAGTCTCACAGGTCTGAATATACACTTGAAGCCATTTATAATTCTTCTTGTTTGATTTTTAACCGGACTTTTAACAGTTTAATAAAATTGGACCTTTAACTGTATTTCCGTAAGTTTTACAGTTTTTCCTATTGATAAAAATCTCCCTTATGACCATTCATACTACACAAAGGAATCAAGAAATAAACAATTATATGACAGAAAACTTTCTGTTTTTCACTTTCTACTACAGAAATTTCTGTTTTTTATGACTACAGTTAAACCCCACACCAAAACACTGGACAGTCTGGCCAATGAGCTACCAGAACTTTTTCTGTAAGTTTACACATTTATTTCTTCCAATTTAAGTCAAAAGAGTCATGCTGACAGATTTCTTTCTTTTCACAGCAACTTTTTCTTTATCATGTAGAAAAACACCAAGTTTTGCCTCTAGTGGACGATGAGAGTCAAACCTTAAATACTGATCTGTATACATTGGTTTACGGTACACATCAGCGTTTAAATGTCCCCCATTACAGATGGAAATCTCACAGCTAGCCTGTCATATCCTCCGTGGTGAATTTGATGTGTTCGCGCGTGATTATTGAATTTTGGTACGTCCTGAGATTTCATTTTCATCCAGGTGTCATCCACATAATCAATGACGTGGAGGTGTTCCAGGGTAGGATAACAGAGCCCTCTTTTCCCCTTCTTCCATGTACAAGTTGGGGACAATGGGTGAAACTGGGGAAGCCAAGGCACACACATGTTTCTGCCTGTAGTACTGACCCTTGCATGTGAAATAGGTGGAATTAAGACTCAGATCCAAGACCAAACAGACTTGGTTGGTGCTGAGAGTGGTCGTGTTGCTCAGGTTGGGGTCATCCTGTTATCTCTTGCAAACTACCGCCACTGCTTCAGTGACTGGAACACAAGTGAAGAGAGATGTAACATCGTACAACACTATTATTTTATCTGCCTCCATAATGACGTCTCTCACCTTCTCAACAAAATTCAAGGTGTTCTAGATGTGGTGTTCAGAGCTGCCTACCAACGGGTTAAGAATGAAAACCAGAAACTTTGAGTTGTTATAGGGGACTGAGTTGAGAATACAGACAATTGATCTTAAAGGTACACCCTGTTTATGTATCTTATGTAAACCATACAAACTTGGTGAAGCATCCCCTGGGTATCCGGTCTTTAAGTCTGTTGTCATTAGCCGCTCCCAGGTCCAAACTCCGCTTCAGGTCCCAAAGTCAAACGAACACTGTGGCATCACTGAGAGTTACAAACTGTTTAAATTCTTTCATCTTTAATAAAATGATCAGTGTGGCTGCTCTACCAGGTGAAACAATTAAGTTTGACATTCAGACATCCACGAAAACAGAATTTATGAAGTTAGCAAGGAGTTAGCTAGCTAGTTTCCATCTAAAGATGATATATCATGTTCTGATTGAGGGATTTCTGAAAAATTGAAACGTACAGCTCTGCTATCACTTTTGACATAAAGGAAGACAGAAAAGGAAACAGTCGTGACATTTGTAGGGTTATTGAATTTGGGCTAGCTGGTATATAATAATGTGCTACATTGTGGCTAGCTACACAGCTATGGTTGTCTTGTTCTAACTGCTTCAGACAATCTTATCAACCTCTTCCTAACCACTTCCTGGGTCTCGTTTCAGGGCCTCATAAGTATTTCTGTCACTGAGCAGTAACAAAATTTTCTCATGATAGTCTTTCTGGTTTAGCAAAACCGTGCACCAAGACAGAACTATGAAGCCACTCTCAGAACAGACTTCACTGTTTGGTTTTACTGTCTTTACATTGTATCCTATAAAATGTAATCTCTTCTTGAATAGCAACAGTTAACATTTTGTCCCCTCCTGAGCAGGGCCTGTGTCCAGCAGCCAGCCTGTCACTGCTGGAGGAGGGTCTGGCTCCATAGAGAACCCTCTGGAGTTCCTGAGGAACCAGCCTCAGTTCCAGCAGATGAGACAGATCATCCAGCAGAACCCAGCCCTCCTGCCAGCCCTGCTGCAACAGCTCGGGAGAGACAACCCACAGCTGCTGCAGGTACCACAGCACAAAACTCACCGTTCTCTAGTGGCGTTCTGTCAGAGTCTGTTAATATAATTTCTGTTTGACTGTTTAAGGTATCTCAAAGAACTGTTCCTAATAGTAAGAACAATAAAGAAATAAATCTGTAAATGTATTTTTCAGGAAACATTTCTCTGATATGTTAATGCAACGTAAAATCCCCCCAAGTGACTATACTAACTTGTTTACCATGTCCACTGTAGTTTGCCTAAACTGGGTGGTTGATATACAGTTCAACTGTGTAACTTGCAGCAAATCACAGAGCACCAGGAGCGTTTTGTACAGATGCTGAATGAGCCACAAGCTGGAGATACAGGAGGAGAAGATGCTGATACCCATGGGTCACCACACACTAACTACATCCAGGTCACCCCACAGGAGAAAGAGGCAATTGAGAGGGTGAGTTTGCCAGTCACATTGACACAGTCACCAAATTTACACAATTTTTGCAGAAATTAGGAACAAATATTTTTCTCTTTTAAACATATGAAAGGAAATCAGTCTGAACACAACCTGCTACTGAATTTCCATGACTTTTGTTGAAACATCAGTGATGGAAAATTATGTTGCTGGATCCTTGATGTTTTTCTGTTAGCATTAATGAAACAAATTCTTAAATATGCACATTGGAAAAAATACAAATTTGAAGGGCAGTATTCTGCAACATTCTTGATAATTCTGTGGCAGCTGGTTAGAGAGTCAAGCAGTTATGTATACCTAATAGTTTTTCTTCATGTAATTTTTCAAACAACAAATGAATGCATAAATGCAGGAACACGAGCATGAATGTTTTATAGTAGGTGTGTTTTTACATTTAATAGTCTTGTTGAATTGTCCATAAGGTGAAAGGAGGACTGAAAATGTAAATGACATTGTTTTCCAGTTAAAAGCACTGGGATTCCCTGAAGGTTTAGTCATCCAGGCGTACTTTGCTTGTGAGAAGAATGAGAATCTAGCTGCTAACTTCCTGCTACAGCAAACATGGGACGATGAGTAGGCCCACATCACCGGGCTCATCACTGCTCAACAGAGGGCTGCAGAGTGGATGACACCACTGCAAGTCTGCCAGGGAGAAACAAGGGCAGGAGAGGAAGGGGATATTTCTTTTCACACCATGAGACTGTGGCCATTAAATGACGATGATGATGATGATGATGACAATGATGACATGGTGTTCAAAGTTAGTTGCGCTGCCTACTCTTCATTCAGCTATGATGATCATCATAGGTGCTACCACTGAGCATTGCCTCACTGCTACTACATCATTACTGCTGATGCTTGTATTGAGTGACCACACTGACAGAAGTCCCACCAGTAAATTTGCAAACAGCCTACATCACAGGCCAGCAGGATTTAAGTTAGAGGATTTCCTCTGCAGTGAGCTCACAGGCTGCCTGTTGAACATGTTAAACTAATGTACATGTGTAAAGTAAGGTAATATATAATAAATGAGAAAAAATGCATTTTCAACATGCCTACATGAACCTACATGTCGGAGTTCCCTGAACATTTGACTAAAACTGTTGACCTCACTGCTTGGAAGCTACTATTGATTTAGATCAAAGCTCATATTGGATCCTGTCACTTCCGCTGCTTCTTTTGTCCATGCAAAAAGTCTTTGCAAATTCTTCTATTGGTGTCTGACCATGTAGATGTGTAAAAGGTGACTGAATTTCACAGCTGGATAGTTGAAATGTTGACACCTATTCAACCGTTCCCCAAAAAGGAGAAATGATAAAATGTTTTTAATTGAGATCATTTACATTTTAATTAAATGTAGAAATGTTAGTGTCCTCTATCTTTCACAAGTCGAGACCATCTCAAAGTTTTGTCTTTTTGATGACTGACTTACTCAGTCTGTTGAAAATGCACATCTGATAATGTCACAAAGAGTCCCTGCAATTAGGGTTAGAGAAACTCGTTTTCCACAAGACACCTGTTAAGTCAGAATGAATCACTCACACAAGTGCAGTTAAACTGTTGTTGCCTTGTTAAGGAAAGCTCTGGGGACAGTCGATAATAATGATAATAAGGCAAATAAAGAAACAGTGATGTAATTCGTCATCTGCTGTTGCTGCTTCTCCTCTTCCTTCTCCACCAAGCATTTGAGGTTTTAGTAGCTCCTCACTGAGTCTGCTCTTGTGCCCTGCATTTTGACTTAAAGGTGTTTTTTTTTTCAGTTTGTTGTGATGGTGTGATTGAGTCACTTTATTTTAGTGTCATTACATTATTAGTACAAACTGCATCTATTAGTTAAATTTTTTCTTGATGGTTTGGATAAGTAATATTTTACTTTATGTATTATTA